AGTGCAATCTAGTGTTCTCAAGTGCAAGAAGGCCGTAATGTGCCTTAAGAGAAAATATGTGTGTTCAATGGGCTTCATTCAGGCATGACTTACAGTGCTGTTGGCTGGAGAGGCTCTCTCTCCTCTTCTCCCTCTGCCCCTCCCCGTGCACACATGCTCTCTCGGTCTCTTAAATAAATAAATAATTCTTATAAAAAAAAAAAAAAAAAAAACCTATTTGAGGAAAACTAAAACATCCCTGAAAAATGAAACCATAGATCAGAATAAATGAAAAAAGACAAACTATGTCCTTGGATAGGAAGATGCCATCATAAAGGATCAGTTCTCCTAGAGTTAACCTATCCTTTTGCCATAAAGCAATTTAAAACACTATCAATTTTTTGTCAGGTGCTATACCAGTCAATTATAAAATTCATTTTGAAGAACAACAAAGCAAGCATAGCCTGGAAAACCCTTAAAAAGAACAAAGAAAGGACCTAACTTTTCCAGTTAAGACATTCTGTAAAGCCTTTGTAATTGAAATAGTTTATATTGACATATGAAAAGACAAATAAACCAATGAAATACAATAGAAAATCCAGAAATATACCATTTGCATATGTAACTTTAGCATATAATAAAAGCCTCTCAAATCAGTGGGAATTTGATGGTCTTGTAAAAAGTGGCATTAAAATAAAGGGAAAGCCATGTGGAAAAAATAAAACTGGATCCATTCCTCACATAATATAGGAAAAATTCCAAATGGAGTAGAGAATGTAAGAAAAGGAAACATGCAAGTGTTATTTTTTCAAAAATGAGTGTATTCACCTGTAACCTGAAAGTGTACAAAATATTCTAAACTATGACTCAGCTTCCAGAAACAATAAGGGAAAAGACTGATGTATTCAATTCCATGAAAATAAAAATAAAAGCTTTTGCATGCCCCCCGCAAAAAAAAATCACCATAGCAAAATGAAGTTAAGTGACAAAAATTGAAAACATATTTGCAATTTATATCACCAAGCTTCCAAAAATAAAGAAGTAAAAGGCCATCTAACCCATAAAAGAATGAGCTGATATAAATAATTTTCACAGAAAAAGAAATGCAAATGACTCTTAAACATATGAAAAGATGCTCATCCTCATAATAAGAGAAAGACAAATTACAAGTACACTGAAATGCTATTTTTTATCCATCAGATTGGCAAAAAATACAAAAGTTTGAGTATGTACTCTGTTGGCAAAGCTATGGAAGACAGCCATTCTTATATATTGCTATGGGAATACAAATTAATAAAACTTTCGGGAAGAGGAATATGGAAATAACTAACAAAACTATATAAGCACTTATCCTTTGATCCAACACTCATAATTGTAGGGACCCAAATATAATATAAAAAGACCCGAGCCCAAGACTTCTCTTTGCTCATTCTTTCTAAGAGTGAAAATTGGAAACATCTTACATGAGCATCAATAGGGGAAAGGTTGAATAAACTGTGACCCACCTACTCACTGGAAGAGTATCTCTGTATGGTGTGGGTTAGTCTTTAGAATATGATAATGCAGGGGCGCCTGGGTGGCTCAGTGGGTTAAAGCCTCTACCTTCGGCTCAGGTCATGATCTCAGGGTCCTGGATCGAGCCCCGCATTGGGCTCTCTGCTCAGCGGGGAGCCTGCTTCCTCCTCTCTCTCGGCCTGCCTCTCCGTCTACTTGTGATCTCTCTCTGTCAAATAAATAAATAAAATCTTTAAAAAAAAAAAAAAGGTAGAATACGATAATGCAGTTTCTCAACAGTGACACTATTGATGTTTCAGGTCAGATCGTTCTTTGATGCGAGGGACAAGCCTGTACATTGTAGGATGTTTAGCAGCATCGCTGCCCCCTATCCATTAGATTCCAGGAACACCCCAGCTCCCAGCTGGACAATGAAAAATGTCTCCAGATATTACCAAATATCCCCTTAGGGACAAAGTCATCCTCAATTGAGAATCACTGATATGATATTAAGTGACATAGCATGTCGGTGTGCCCGGGGTGTGGGGGGCAGGGGTTGGGGAAATGTATACAGTATGTTTATATTAGTGAAAGAGATGGATAAAACGTAACATTAAACTTTTAAAAATCATTCACCAGGGGCACCTGGGGGCTGGGTGCCTGGGTGGCCAGTCAATTAAGCAACTAACTCTTGGTTTTGGCTCAGGTCATGATCTCAGGGTCATGAGATCAAGCTGGGGCTCCAGGCTCAGGGCAGTCTGCTTGAGATTCTCTCTCCCTCTGCTCCTGCCCCCCTCCCACACTTCCTCTGTCTCTATCTCTCAAATAAATAAATAAATCTTTAAAAAATATCATTACCTATAAGAAAAGAAGGGAATAGGATGAGGGGGAAAGAGATAGAAGCTAAACTACTTTAATTATACTGTTTTTGTAAATTTGACATTGGTACTTTCACATATAATGTAAAACAAAATTCAATATTAAAACAAGTTTGAAATTTGAAAGTAAATGGAAGCAAATGAACGTCTATATGTTGATGGCATAGCTATACAAAGAAGAACTCTTCTGTGACTTTAAACATACTAATGTGACTATATATCCCTAGTGCAATAAATCTCAAAGACCAAAAGAACTAAAAATAATATTAAATCGCTTTTGAATGATCATAGTTGTAATGTAATTGCAGTACCAATATTGTATTATAATTTGAGGCTTGTGTGCATGTATTTCATATAAAACAGTGAATTATTGTGATGATGTCTATCAGCATGAGAAATTTTAGCTTGGGGTTTCAGCATGGGATACAAATATAAAAAGAATGAGATTAAGTAAAAAACATGATACCCTAATTTTGAATTGGAAGTGTCAGTATGAACTCATGAAATGATTATTAACAACAAAAGTCCTTTGCTGACCGTCCACTGAAAAAAGCTAAATACAATAGCAAATCCAATAGCCATGATCATTCCTAGCACCATTTTCTAACTAAAAAGAAATCAATGATTTTTGGAGAGAGAAATGGATGATGTAAGACTGGGTCAGAAAACGTACAAGGTGACCCTGGAAAAAATCACCAGTAACAATTATTAGAAAGTAAAGAAGCTATCAAAGACTTTAAGAATTGTGTCAAAAGATCTCAAGAGCCAACTTGAAGAGGCTCCCACTGGCCAAGGAAGGGCCATTCGTGCATTATAAGTATAGTACCTGCAACAGACAGAAATATATCATCTGTGATTAAATTCATGCACTCATACTGATGCTTGAAAAAAAAAATAATGAGTTGGAGAACCAATTTGTTATTTTGAAATAGTAAACAAAGGGAAAAAATGAAATATTAGTTATGACTTTACTACATAAATTGTCTTTCAGAATAAACCACATAATTGGAAAGAGGTTTCTTTTTAGGACTACTCTACCTAAGAAATGAGGAATAAAACATTACCATTTCATATTTTTAATAAATAAATGTTATCTCTGTAATGATCATCAGTGGTTGCTAATACCACAAAACAAGGATGATAACTAGATATCATATATATCCAGATGGAAATATACTGTCTCAACCATTAGAGATTTTTTTTTGTCAAAAAAAAAAAAAAGGAAGAGAAAGGAAATTGAATGTGAATCTTATCAAGTCTCCTAGATCAAACAAGCAGTTTGTAAGAAATACAGGAAACAAAGGGACATGGAGAACAAAATAAAGGGGAAGAATGAGCCAAATTTGGGCTGTGACACCTAAAGAGAAAATGGTACAGTTTGTTTACCACCAGCAGCAACAACATAAAAATTGCAAGGAAATAAAAGTAGACAAAAGGAGAACCTATAAATTAAAAGATAATTAAAGGACATACCAATCAAATGTAATGTTTGGACCTTATTTACATGTCCTGATTTTTTAAAATATGTTTCTTTTTATAAATATACCTAACACCCTAAATAATTATAGAAATATGAACACCCTGAATATTTAATATTAAGAAATGATTGTTTTCTTGATTTAGGTGCAGTAATGGTAGTGTGTATGTGTTTGTGTGTTAATAGTAAGGGTCCCTATCTTTTAAAGATACATACTGAAAGGATGGGATTTGCTTCAAACTAAAATGGGGAGCAGACAGGGATGAATAAGTACATGTATAAAACAAGATTAGCCGTAAATTGATCACCATCAAAGCTGAGCTATGAATATGTGAAGGTTCATTAAACTATGACTTGGTTATTTTATTACTATTACTTATTTATGTCTGTCTGAGATGTTTTGTAAGAAAATGCCTTATAAAAAAAAATAACTTGGGCACCTGGGTGGCTCAGTCGGTAAAGGGTCTGCTTTCAGCTCAGGTCATGATCCCAGGGTCCTAGGATGGAGCTTCTCCCTCTCTCTTTCCCCTGCTTGTGCTCACTCTCTCTTTCTCTGTCAAATAAATAACTCTTAAAAAAAAAAAAAGAAAGAAAGAAAGAAAAAAACTTGGGAATGCCGTATTTTCACCATCATCAGTACCATGCTCTCTGCCAGATGTCTCCCATTTGAAGAAGAACCACTGTGTGGGGCCCCTGCAGTTGAGTTCTGATTGCTCTGAGAAAACCACACCTGTGTTTGTGCTTCCCCTTCCTCTGCCTCATTATTACTCTTACTATCCCATCACTGTTTCCATGTTGCATCCACTTGAAGGAGCTCATAATAAAACTTAAGATAATAGAAACATACCAGACTAAGGTCACCTTGTGATCTCTTACATTATGCCTGAGATAGTCCTGTGGCTTTATCACTCCCAGGGGCCTGTCTCAGCTGTTCAATTAATAGTGAGAATATTGATTAGCTCATAGTTTATGTTCCTGCTTATGTGAACTACTGGTTTATTGTCAGCCTGTAATTACGGAATGTTTTCATATGAGATCTTCCTACATATTGAGATAGTTACTACTGGAAGCTGGGCTCCAAGGACGTGGAGGGAGGAGAGGGGGAGGGGGCCACTTTATTAGCAATGAGTGAATTGGCATTCACCATCACTCTTGTCTTCTTTTAACTATAGGTATTTATCAAAGTGCTGGATAATAACGATAATGGACCAGAATTCTCTCAGCCGAATTACGATGTCACAATCTCTGAAGACGTGCTTCCAGATACAGAGATCTTGCAGATTGAAGCCACAGATAGAGACGAGAAGCACAAACTGAGCTACACTGTCCACAGTAGCATCGACTCGGCCAGCATGAGGAAATTTCGGATTGACCCTAGCACTGGCGTGCTCTACACTGCTGAGAGGCTGGACCACGAGGCCCAGGACAAGCATATCCTCAACATCATGGTAGGACCACACTGCTATTGTGCTCTCCTAACACAGTCTTTCACCTTTGGTCTTCAGAAGTACGGGGCCCTTAAATGTTGTAAGTAGGAGTGAATTTGGTCTTCTCATAGCAGGGCCACCTTCGTTTCTGCCTTTTTATCTCCCTGAGGAAAATGGCTACTCTCCTGGAGTGACCAGATATTTTTGCCTGACTGAAAGAGTAGATGAGTTCTGCAACAGTGGCTGCTGACAGGCTGACTTGGAAGAGAAGGAACAGGCCATGTTTCGGTAAATCTTCCAGGCTATGATATTGGTTCTCATCCAGAAGATTCTGTGGAAAAGTTTAAAAGAAGTTCCTTGAGAAGTTAATCACAAGGGTAATCATTTACTCAAAATATGCATTGCTCAGTCCTTGGAAGCATTTAGAAGACTGATTTATTACTTACTGCACTGGCGTTGGATCTAGTCATAAATACTGCCACCCAAAACAGATCTCAAAACATACCAAAGCCTGCGGAGAGTGTTCATTAAGTCTGAATTTGGGTTCATGGGACCTCCAAATTATGTGGAAGTTGCTTTAATTTTAAAATGGAATTTTCTTAGTTCACATAAATGAGAAGTAGAAATTGATAAGTAACATCCTTGACTAGTTTATTGACCAAAATCTGGCCCTTTGACCACCCAAGAAACCTGGGGGAAATCGCACAGCCCCTGCTTAACAGACCCCCTAAGTTTCTTGAGACACAGACTAAACCTCGGGTACTGATTGCTTTTAAAACACGTTAAGATGCTACCAGTTTCCCAGCAGCTGAAAGTGATGTTCCTCTAAGCACTACTCTTCCTTCTCCCCAAGTCTGGAAACACTCCTGGGCCAGAGGAAGGAAGCCATGCCCTTGGCGGTTTCCAGATGAGAACCACCACCCCCCTCCCCACCCACCCCAGGTGGGAGGAGCAAGAGGGACTCAGAGGGACGATTAGACCCGCCCTCTCATTCATTCAACAGATATTTCTCCAGCGCCTACTGAGTACCAAGCACCATTCTAAACCCTGGGAATGGGAAGGAGACAAAACTCCTGTACCCTTGGACATTCCACTGGAACAGACCTAGGTCTCAATAATCCCAAAATACAGAGGTCTTGGTCCCTGGGTGTGGAAGGCCAGTCTACAGGCGGGAGGACTGAGCACACTCACCCCGTTGTTTTTGCATGAGTTTTATTCAGGGGCAGAAACCGTATGCCAAGGACTAACTCCATCCTCATAACTCAGTGCATTTCTGTTCATTCTTTCCTTAATAAACTCAAAATTCAGTTTGGTCACCCTGTATCATTCGTCATGGCTGTAATGGATTATTTAGAGCAAACATGTCCTTTAGGCTGCCTTTCTCCGTGCTAAGCCATTTTAGTCCTTTTGCTCATTCCTTCTAGGTACTATTTCTGAAAAGCCCTTTTACTTTGATGGCTCTCCTCAGTCTGCTTTCTAATTTCTCCACATCTCTCTGAAGTTATGGAGTCTAAAATTGAACAAACGCAAAGCACACATTTGATTAGCGCAACATAAAATTATAGCAAAATCACACAGTGAGGGTTAAAGGGTTGATTATTTGCAACCTTCTGGCATATGCAAACCAGGGGAGGCTTTAAAGCAGTTAGGTGGCTCGGTGAAGTCACAAGGAGGAGTCTGGCATTTTAGAAACTAAGGTTTGGTTCATTTTCCTGGGAATCAGTGTTCTCTCTCAGTCCTGGGCCTTGGCCTTGGAGGCTGTCCTTGCCTGAAACATGCTGCCCACACCACCATTTAGCCATTTCTACTTTTTTTTCTTACCTCTTCCAAGAAGCTGAGTGCCCGGTTATCTGCTTCTTATGACTCCCTCCATTCCGGCACTCACCACCAGGCCTCCTACCCATTTGCTTGTTTCTATCCCCCACCCACCTGTTAGCATCTGAAGGGCAAGAACCAGATCTGAATCACTGCTGAACCCCCAAAGTGAAGCCAGGACTTGACAGATAATAGGTGACAATAAATGTTTGTTGAATGAATGAATGGAGGGCAATGCCTGCTTTGCATTTATGAGTTCTCTCACTGAACATTCGAGTGTCCCTTTCAGAAGAGCATCCATCCACCATTCCATTAGCAGCTAGATACACGAACGAGAAGGGAGCGGCTGTGGGCGGTGGTTCAGAGGAAAGTGCTGTGGCAGCTCCACGAACACAGGCTGAACACACACCACGGGCCAGTCGTCATGAAATGGGTGTGGCCGCAACTCTCAGTCTGCTCACCATTAGTGCCCTCCCCTGGTAGCACCATCACTTACCGTGGCCCTGCCCCGTGCCTGGGATTGCATCAAGCACTTTCTGTGAGCTGCCTCATTTTCTGTTTGCCACAGACATAGCCATGTGAGTTCCTTGCAATTTAAGATTTTAGTCCTACCACTTCTTGTATTTTGCCTAAAGGTCAGAGATCAGGAGTTTCCTTATCGAAGAAACTTGGCCCGAGTCATTGTGAATGTGGAAGATGCTAATGATCACAGTCCCTATTTCACCAGCCCACTGTATGAAGCGTCTGTGTTTGAATCGGCTGCTCTGGGATCAGCTGTTCTGCAAGTGACCGCCCTGGACAAAGACAAAGGGGAAAATGCAGAACTCATATATACCATAGAAGCAGGTGAGAGCTGTTGCGCAGATTGCAACATAACGCATGGCTTTTGACCCTCTGCAGTGTTTATCACCATGTGAAATTCCCATAGTCACCCTGGAATGGCTCCAAAAGCATTGTGTGGCCAAGCCACTGCCCCAGCTGCGTGATGATGGCTCTATCAAGTTCTTGGTATTTTTGGTAATACGTTTTCCAGCACTCACGGTGAGGAAAGAGTTCCCTTTGCTGGTGTTCTCGGTGGTGTTCTTGGATTTTTCTGGAATAGAGGAAAGAGAAGAAGTGCACGGTAAGCTCAGTGGCTTTTACCGATAGGTCAACAAGCCATGGCCTCAGACGAAAATAACCAGTCTCCCATCTCTTGGGGGCTGCCAGGCTGTTCCATGAATTGAATCCTACATGTCTCGGTGGGAAATACTGAACTGCCTGCTTAAACAGAGAGATGAATTCATCCAGGCTCACATTCTGTTAAATCTGAGATTTTTAAAATCAATTTTGACATCCTTAAGGCCAGACCATACTTCCCTGATGGTTTGAGGATGGACAGGAACAAAACATTTATGACAGAAGAGATGATTGTCCAAGCGAGGGATGAGACTGTGAACCTAACAATTACAAATATCCCTTATCTGCTGTATTTTCCTTTCCCCTCTTCAGTCTTTTTTTTTTTTTTAATATTCAAGCCACATATTTCCAAAATGTTCTGCAACATTATGTCTGTCGTGCATAATGCCAAATGATGTCTCTTTTTATGCCAGTGCTGGAAAGGCCTCTTTCCCGGGATTTAAATGTGGAGCATTTTTGTGAGTGGTTGAATTAAAATATGAATGCTAGAATGACAGTTTGGGACTAAAAAATATTAGAGAAAGAAAAGCCAACCATCTTCTTTATACAAAAGCCACTGCAACAAATGATAATCTAAAACTATTTCCTGTATTAGGCACCCACATTTTATCAGCGTTGAAGCTAAGCTCTATACAAAGAAAAAAAAAAAAGGTAGAGAAATAAAAGAGAGTGGTTCAAAACAGTCAGGTGCCCCAAGCAACTTCACCTGTTTCTTTTGTAGATATTTATGGAATTTACTTCTAACCTAAAGCCTGACCAGTATTTTTTTTTTCTGACCAGTATTTTTTTAAGTGCTATTTGGCATCTGTTGTTTACCACAGGAAATTTTAATTATTTAATTATGTAATCCTTGTTCTTCTAGTTCCACAAATAATGTAAGGAAGCTTCTTTTTAAAAACACAAATGTTTAAATAATGTCACAGAAAGTATCGCCTGATTCAGGAGCTCTTTGGACTCTTTCTACAGGTTTTTCCCTAATCTTAGATATATTTTTCTTTTCCTGGTATTCATCCACGCACCTACATTTTTCCATATCCCTGTGCTCATTGAGGTAGGGAGTTTGATTTCTGTTTTTTTTATTTAGCATTTCCTAAGCATTGTCTATGGTGTCTGCTTGATTTTGTATTTGTCATTAAGGCTATTTACAGTCTCCGAGTTAGGCAGATAACTTCTAAGCCAATCAGGAAGTTCTGAGGAGATGAAGGAGCGCCATTTCCCATCCTGCTGACAAGACTACTTTCCTTATCTTTCCACAGCCACACGCTGAGGCCCGGTGCTATGGGTAGACAAGGGATTCCGTCATTCCTTTAACTGCTAACTAAAAATAGAGAGAAAAGTTATTTTCTTAAAACATCTTTTCTGTAGAAAACTTGTATTTCCAGAAACTCATAGGAATGATCGGTAACTAAAAAAAATGAAACAAAACAAAACAAAAAACTGACCTCTGATTGTTTGTGTAGGAAGATAATGAGGATTTCAGTGTACACAGTAAGTCCCAAGTGGTCCTGGGGCTCCTTTGTGGACAGACAGACCTCCACAAGCCCTGGACTGCTCCTGGCCAAGCCAGTTCCTTCCCTGATCCTGGTAGGAGAGAGGGAGGACCCAGATGCCACAACATTGTGAAATAAATGACAGGTGGTTGTGTAGAGTGTATATTTTCTGTACGTTCTCTTCCAAACCTCTGCTTACTGGTGGGCCGTATGCTTCCTAACCCCTGCCTGGCCTCAGAAGTAACTATGGAAGCTTTTATCTGGGCCCAAAGAACTAAGGGGATATTTGAGTGTGGAGCTTCAGTTCCTATATTTGGTTCAGGTTTCTCTTTCATGCCACAATTGCTCATGAGTGGCTCTGAAACAGGAGACACAAGGACTAAGAACTAAATTACAACAGGAGCCTCTTCGATCCCAAGGGGCATACAGACAGAAGACTAACAATCTTTTTTTAGATCCACCTCTCCTCTCAATCATTTAATACATATTTACTGAACACCATCTTTGTGCCAGACTGTGCTACATTCTAAATAAGTCATGATATGTAAGATAAGCCCAGCTTTTGCTCAGCTGCCAAAAGTCTACAAAAAGCTGTAGATTCCAAGGAAATAAGCAGACGTTAGTTTCCGAGGATTCAAGGATAGCCAGAGAGAAGAAGCAAGAAGCAGATGCTAAGAAAATGGGCAGGGAGTATGTTGAAGAGGGGAAGAGGCCAAGAGCCCACTTTCGACCTGCTGTCCAAGAGCAGCAGCCCAGAGTGGTGTGCCAGGCAGATGAGCAGCTGTGGGGTAGCAGAGTTATGAAGTTCTACTCGAAACCGGAAGCTGGCTCCCCTTGGTCCCTGCCATGTATGTCCTGCTGGGCATGAAGGAATGTGCTGGGTCTGCAGAAAGGGAGGACTTGGCTGGAGACTCCGCAGCAGGGGGACTCCACAATCAAGGAACACAGACACACTTGACTTTCTTGCATTTATCAGTTGGGGTTGACTGTTGGCCCCATTATCTCTACAATCTCTACATTTTCCTCCTTGGATATGATGATGTGAAATGATTCCTGCCTCCTTGCGAGGGTCTATGAATCAGACGTTGAACTCACGTTCAACTCCATTATTTATTGAAAGCTTGCACGCTTACTCATGAGATCATTGAACTTTATGTTGACCTCACAAAGTGCTCATGTTCAGGTGGCAAGGAAAAACTATCATGCTGACACCGAAGAGGACACCATGCGATACTCACGTGTGGGGGCTGGAATCCTGTTCTTGTTTGTTAAATTAATTCTTGAGTGTGCCTGGCTGGTTCAGTCAGTTAAGCAGCCAACTCTTGATTTTGGCTCAGATCATGATCTCAGGGTCCTGGGATCGAGCCCCAAGTTGGGCTCCATGCTCAGCAGGAGTCTGCTTGAGGATTTTCTCTCTCCCTCTCCCTCTTCCTGTGCCCCTCTCCTGGCTCATGCTCTCACTCTCTAAATAAATAAATCTTTTAAAAAATAAAATAACTTAATTGTTTAAAAATAAGCGGGTTTTAGAGGAACATGAGTTTTTTATTCTCGGACATGGAAAAGTTTAATGAATAAGTACATTGTAAGAAGTATGTATACAGCTGTATTTGCTGCATATCTCAGGAGATACATATAAGTGCCATCGGGAAGGGAGCTGGTCTTAACAATAATGACATTTAAACCATCTCTATGTCTGTGATACTGCTGTACTTCGAGCAGGAAAAAAAAAAATGCAGCTATAACTGAATGACCAAGATTTTTCACTTTGTTTTAGAAGAATCTAGTCAAGAAAGCATGTGTGCTCTTGGGGAAGTATCAGAAAGCCTGACGAGAGCAGCAAAAAGCAGCTTGGTGAAGGATTCCACGTAATACTGTCCACTACTTTTCAGCCAGGTTCTTTACATTCTTCAAACCTCGTGTTCCTCACTCTCTGCTCCTCTCTCATTATCCTCATCTCTCAGCGATCTCAGACTCCACACCACTGCATGTTTCAGACATGAGGCGCTAAACGTCTGAGGCGTCACGGTTCACAGCCCTTCCCATCTGAGTTTCCCATTGCTGGTTCCTCAATTTCAGGAGGGTGATGCCTCCAGTTTGGGGTTTTAAGGTTGGTTCAGATGATCGGCAGTTCACTACGTCACCAGAAACCTCGCCGGTACTTAGCGAATGGGACAGTTACAGATTGGAGGAACGGCCTTATAATTTTTACGTCTAGTTTTAAGTGTGTGCATGCACGTGTGTCTTTTGGGATATGAGGGGGTGAACAACAGAAGGGTGGCAGAAAATATTCTGACAACTTACAGAGCAAATAGCTTGGGAAGAGTCCTTCAGACCCGAACAAAAGACCACCCCTCACCAAAGTAGTGTTTGGAGTGAAGTTGGTTTTAATAGGGTGAAATGTAGCAAAGCCCACCTTTGGGATAATCTGTGGTATAATGTTCTGAAACAGCTCCTACAAAAGTCTTTCTCATAACATGGAACATAGACTATGGCACTGGTTTAGGCAAAAATCCATTTAGAACGGTGGCATCGTACACAATCTTGTGGTGGTGGTGTTGTTAACATGGATTAAGAGGATACTGACCTGAAATTCACAATTTTACTAAAAAAACTCACTTCAGTTGCTTTTGAATACCCCTAAAAGAGAAAGCTTTCATTCTATTTCAGAATGAGATGGAACGAATACAAATAATTGCTTTCGACTTGCTATGTTGCTGCAAAGTATCCTTTAGATGAAAAATTAATCTTCAAAACATGATGTGTGACTTGTTTCTCCATTTATCTCTGTATTTTAGGGAACACTGGGAACACATTTAAGATCGAACCAGTCCTGGGCATCATCACCGTTTCCAAAGAACCAGACATGACAACAACGGGTCAGTTTGTCCTGTCGGTCAAAGTCACAGACCAGGGTTCCCCGCCAATGTCTGCCACTGCAATTGTGCGCATTTCTGTTACCATGTCTGATAATTCTCACCCCAAGTTCACTCACAAAGACTACCAAGCAGAAGTAAATGAAAATGTTGATATTGGAACATCAGTCATTCTAATCGCTGCCATCAGTCAATCTACCCTCATTTATGAAGTCAAAGATGGAAACGTTGATGGGATCTTTACCATAAATCCATATTCTGGAGTCATCACCACCCGGAAGGCACTGGATTACGAGCGTACTTCCTCCTACCAGCTCATCGTTCAGGCCACTAACATGGCAGGCATGGCTTCCAATGCCACAGTCAATATTCAGATCGTTGATGAAAATGATAATGCCCCAGTTTTTCTCTTTTCTCAATATTCAGGCAGTCTGAGTGAAGCTGCCCCAGTCAATAGCATTGTCAGGAGCTCGGATAATAGCCCACTGGTGATTCGAGCCACTGATGCCGACAGCAACCGGAATGCTCTGCTGGTGTATCAGATTGTGGAGTCCACGGCCAAGAAGTTCTTTACAGTGGACTCCAGTACAGGTGCAATCAGAACAATTGCCAACCTGGACCATGAAACTATTGCCCATTTCCATTTCCATGTCCACGTGAGAGATAGTGGCAGCCCCCAGCTGACGGCAGAGAGTCCTGTTGAAGTCAACATAGAGGTAACGGATGTGAATGATAACCCACCTGTTTTCACCCAGGCTGTGTTTGAGACTGTCTTACTTCTACCCACCTACGTTGGAGTGGAGGTTCTGAAAGTTAGTGCCACGGATCCTGACTCCGAGGTGCCCCCGGAACTGACATATAGCCTAATGGAAGGTAGCTTTGATCATTTCTTGATTGACTCAAATAGTGGAGTGCTCACCATAAAAAACAACAGCCTCTCCAAAGATCACTACATGTTGATAGCTAAAGTGTCCGATGGAAAGTTCTACAGTACATCCATGGTCACCATCCTGGTTAAAGAAGCCATGGATAGCGGCCTCCACTTTACACAAAGCTTTTACTCGACCTCAATTTCAGAGAACAACACTAACATAACCAAAGTTGCTATTGTCAATGCCATTGGAAATCGCCTTAATGAGCCGTTAAAATACAGCATCTTAAACCCAGGAAATAAGTTCAAGATAAAATCTACCTCAGGGGTCATTCAGACCACTGGAGTCCCCTTTGACCGTGAAGAACAAGAGTTATACGAGCTGGTGGTGGAAGCCAGCCGAGAGCTGGACCATCTGCGTGTGGCTAGAGTGGTGGTCAGGGTTAACATTGAAGACATCAATGACAATTCTCCAGTCTTTGTGGGTCTCCCTTACTATGCTGCTGTGCAAGTTGATGCTGAGCCCGGGACTCTAATTTACCAGGTGACAGCCATTGACAAAGATAAAGGTGCAAATGGAGAAGTGACCTATGTACTACAGGATGACTATGGCCACTTTGAGATTAACCCTAATTCAGGGAACGTTATTTTAAAAGAAGCATTCAACTCTGACTTGTCCAATATTGAGTATGAAGTCACCATCCTAGCCAAAGATGGTGGAAAACCCTCTTTATCCACCTCTGTAGAACTTCCCATCACAATTGTCAACAAAGCAATGCCCGTGTTTGATAAGCCCTTTTATACAGCATCGGTCAATGAAGACATTAGAATGGATACCCCCATTCTAAGCATCAATGCCACCAGTCCAGAAGGCCAAGGTATCATATACATCATTATTGATGGGGATCTTTATAAACAGTTTAACATTGATTTTGACACTGGGGTCCTGAAAGTGGTTAGCCCTTTGGATTATGAAATCACCTCTGTTTACAAGTTGACAGTAAGAGCCAGTGATGCTCTTACTGGTGCCAGGGCTGAAGTCACTGTTGACTTACTGGTTAATGATGTAAATGACAACCCCCCTATTTTCGATCAACCCACATACAATACAACATTATCAGAATCCTCTCTCATTGGGACACCTGTTTTGCAAGTTGTCTCTACTGATGCAGACTCAGATAACAATAAATTGGTACATTACCAGATCGTCCAGGATACTTACAACAGCACAGATTATTTTCACATAGACAGCACAAGTGGCTTGATCCTGACGGCGCGGATGCTGGACCATGAGTCAGTGCAACACTGCATTTTGAAAGTCAGAGCCACAGATAACGGCTTCCCATCACTGAGCAGCGAGGTCTTGGTTCATATCTATATCTCAGACATAAATGACAACCCTCCCGTTTTTAATCAGCTCATTTATGAATCATATGTGAGTGAATTAGCCCCTCGGGGCCATTTTGTAACCTGCGTTCAAGCCTCTGATGCAGACAGCTCTGATTTTGACCGCTTGGAATATAGCATTTTATCTGGGAATGACCGGACCAGCTTTCTCATGGACAGCAAGAGTGGCATCATCACCCTGTCCAACCACCGGAAACAGCGGATGGAGCCCCTGTACAGTCTCAATGTGTCAGTCTCTGATGGGTTGTTCACTAGCACTGCACAGGTGCACATCAGGGTACTCGGGGCTAACCTGTACAGCCCTACCTTTTCCCAAAGCACCTACGTAGCTGAGGTGAGAGAGAATGCAGCCGCTGGGACAAAGGTCATTCACGTTCGAGCCACAGATGGGGATCCTGGGCCATATGGGCAGATCAGCTATGCCATCATCAATGACTTTGCCAAGGATCGATTCCTCATAGACAGCAATGGACAAGTCATCACAACAGAAAGGCTTGACCGGGAAAACCCTCTGGAGGGAGACATTAGTATTTTTTTGAGGGCCCTCGATGGCGGAGGGAGGACAACCTTTTGCACCGTGAGAGTGATCGTTGTGGATGAGAATGACAACGCTCCCCAGTTCACGACGTTGGAATACAGAGCCAGTGTCAGGGCAGACGTTGGAAGAGGCCACTTGGTCACTCAAGTTCAAGCCATGGATCCAGATGATGGAGCAAATTCAAGGATTACTTATTCTCTATATAGCGAGGCCTCGGTCTCAGTGGCTGACCTCCTAGAAATCGATCCTGACAATGGCTGGATGGTCACTAAGGGCAATTTTAACCAGCTGAAAAGCACAGTGCTGTCATTCTTTGTCAAAGCAGTAGACGGCGGCATTCCAGTAAAGCACTCCCTTATCCCTGTCTATATTCATGTCCTGCCCCCTGAAATGTCCTTGCCTTCTTTCACCCAGTCTCAGTATTCTTTCACTGTTTCAGAAGATACAGCCATTGGGAGCACGGTGGACACCCTGAGGATTTTGCCCAGTCAGAATGTCAGGTTCAGCACAGTTAATGGGGAACGGCCAGAAAATAACAAAGGGGGTGTCTTCATCATAGAGCAGGAAACAGGCACGATCAAGGTTGACAAACGCCTCGATCATGAAGTCAGCCCAGTATTCCACTTTAAAGTAGCAGCCACCATACCCCTGGACAAGGTAGACATTGTGTTTACTGTGGATGTAGATATCAAGGTACTGGACTTGAATGACAACAAGCCAGTCTTTGAAACTTCCAGTTACGAGACGATCATAATGGAAGGGATGCCTGTGGGCACCAGACTCACACAGGTGAGAGCCATCGACGCGGACTGGGGAGCCAACGGGCAGGTCACTTACTCCCTGCACTCGGATTCCCAGCCTGAAAAGATCATGGAAGCCTTCAACATTGACAGCAATACAGGCTGGATCAGTACCTTAAAGGACCTGGATCACGAGACAGATCCCACCTTCACCTTCTCTGTGGTGGCCTCTGACCTCGGAGAGGCCTTCTCTCTTTCGTCCACGGCTTTGGTCTCTGTCAGGGTGACGGATATAAATGACAATGCTCCAGTCTTTGCCCACGAGGTGTACCGAGGGAATGTGAAGGAGAGTGACCCTCCTGGTGAGGTGGTAGCCGTCCTCAGCACTTGGGACAGAGACACTTCCGACATTAATCGCCAAGTGAGCTACCATATTACGGGTAAGTCAGCCACACTTGGCTTTCATCTGTGTACTCTGTTCTCCCAAGAAAGGTGGGAAGTGGCAGGAGGTGAGAGTCGGAGAGAAGAAGGGAGATGAGATGGGGGTTGAGAGTAATAAAACCTTTCTGGGGCTGAGTAAAAGATCTCCGAGTGGGCAGGGTTTTTCAGTTGTTGGTTGTTGCTGACTGAGACTTAGTTTGGAGTTCATTCCTTCACCTATGACACATTACCCAGATTGGTACCCAGTCCTTGAGCTGTTGTTATCATTTAAAAAGGAGTCCAGCCAGGGCGCCTAGGTGGCTCAGTTAAGTGGCTGCCTTCTGCTCAGGTCATAATCCAAGGTCCTGGGATGGAGCCCCGCATTGGGCTCCCTGCTTACTGGGGAGCCCGCTTCTCCTTTGCCTTTGCCTGCCATGCCCCCCTGCTTGTGCTCTTCTCTCCCTATCCCTGTGTGTGTGTGTGTGTGTGTGTGTGTGTGTGTGTGTGTGTGTGTGTGTGAAAGGAAGGAAGGAAGGAAGGAGTCCGGCCAATTATCTCAACTGAAGAAATGAAAATAACAGCTTTGGGGTGGGGCACATGTATTTTTAACTCTAATCCTACTTCTTGTATTGGTAAGAAAAATAAATAGCTGGGGGTCCTGGGTGGCTCAGTTGGTTAACCAACTGCCTTCAGCTCAGGTCATGATCTCGGGGTCTTGGGATCGAGCCCTGCATCAGGCTCCCTGCTCAGTGGGAATCTGCTTCTCCCTCTTCCTCTGCACCTGCCCCCCCCCCACCATCCTCTCTCAAATAAATAAATAAAATCTTGAAAAAAAAAATTCTAAAATAAATAAATAACTAGCTGATCCCAGTAAGCTTGACTTACAAGTTTCTCCCAGTGCTGAAAATTCCTATGCCTGCACACGTACATACCTGTACCAATTAAAGGGCGTGGTTTGACCTTTTACTAAAAATCTTAAGTTATAACTCTAAATCAAAGGGTATTTCTCCTGATAACTCAGTTTTCTTGGATCCCTTTTTTGTCTTTCCTGATAAGTAGCAGTTCAGTGGAAAAGCCAAACTAGATCAAAGAAGTCACCCAGAGTGGACCAAAAAAATGTCACTGTTGCTGAGGGAGAGAGGATTTCATGTCGGTGTCACTCATCCGGGGTAGCTTCCTGGGGGTGACTGGCTTGAAACTGCAAGTGGGAAGGTTGGTGGGACAGGAGTAGTCTTCCTAAAACCAACTGAAGGGTTTTAAAGGTAGTATTTTGATGTTGTGACATTCAAAGGCAGAACATAAGCAAAGTGCCAAAAGATTTTAAAGAATCCATCAATACTTGTAGTCAGGTGGCTTCCCTTTAGAAAAACTACATTATTCAAAGTGAAAAATGAATTAATTAGAATGCCCTCAGGACACAGAATCTGCTTAAGTACGTTAGTGGGAAAGTTAATTAATCACTGCAGAATAAGATCCACGGGAGAGCATGTGTCAGTGCTTGGGAGAGCCACTCTTCCGCGTTGCTCCTCTCCTGTTTCTTCCTGGAACTGTTTTCCTGACGGTGCTTTTTGTTTAAACTCTGTTTGCTTTTGTGCATTATCTGATGCCTTCCCTTTTTTTCATTAAAATGTATATTTCTGCAGAAAAGACAGGAGCCGAAGTGGCAAGGGCAGAAAAGTGAGCAAAGACTCACTTGCATTTATTGGCATTCAGTTTCAGACAAAAAGCTTTTTAGAGCTTCCGAGAGATACTTTCCTATTGGAAAGGCTTGCTGAATGTTCAGCTTTAATTATATATCCTTCGTCTCTGAATTGTCAATGGATGATTTAAAGGGACCCTCCCATCAACCCTACCAAAGTAATAAGAACAGAGTAGCTTAAAGCTACTGTTACTATTAGCCCTGCCAACCACCAACCGATTTTAATTAGATTTAACTTTTGCTCTTGATATAACACAACTTGGCTATGCTGCCGCAGTTTAACAAAGGACCATTAATCATTTTATTTAACAAAAGATGTGGGCCTGCACTGAAAACATTTAAGAGAGAGGTTAAATTTGTGCATGCTAAAGTAATATTCAACTGAGGCATAATTGAATCCTAGCCAGTGGTGGAGGAAATTGATATCCCAGGGAGGACCCTGAGCCTCGCCAGAGCCGGTTTTTCAACCTCAACGCTATTGACATTTGGGACTGGATGAGTCTTTGTTGTAGGTGGCCGCTCTGTGCATTGTAGGATGGATGCCTGGCAGCGTCTCCGACCTCTGCCCAAGAGACTCCAGTTAGCCCCATCCCCACCCGCCGGGGGATGCTATTGTGACATTCAAAAATATCTCCAGATGTTGACAGATGTCCCAGTGGGGGGTCTTCCAGCTGAGAGCCATTGCCCTAGAGGAATGTACGGCCCTCATCATTTCTGTACCGTCTACCCCCAATATGGTTCACGGCGGAGGCCCCTGGACTGACACCGCCCCACACCTGAGCAGTGAGAAGTGCAGCCGGGCACTAAATTTCCTGTACTTCCCCCTCGGTCCCTCTGGCAAGACCCGAGTCTTGGCCCTCTGCTCTTTGACAGATTCACTGTGAGAAGCTGAGATGGCTCCGCTCAGCCAGGAAGCAATATGCTTTCCTTATTTATTTGTTTAGGGTCGGTCTTTCCCAACTAGAATGTGCGCTCCAACTCAGGAGCGGGGATTTGTGTCAGTTTTGTCCGCCGCTTTAGCTGTACTGCCCAGAACAGTGCCTGGACTGGAGCAGGTGATAGATACTTGTTAAATGCCCAACGAAAATAGTGATGATCTAACTGGCTTTCGGGCTTCTTGCCAGTTGTCTTGTCCAGTCTTCCTCCATGATGTGAGTGACACTGTTTGCCTCTTTAACATTAGAAGGTCAAAGCAGCTGTCTTCTCTCCTCTTCCCCTCTTGTCCACGCAGCTTTTTGTCTCCAGGTAACGTAATGTTGTGGGGAAGTCATATTGCTGGGACCACTGTCGGTGGTTTCATATCATAAAAAGCTGTTCTATTGCATCTCTTCTCCTTTTCTTCTGCGATCACCAGCTTCACTCTGATAAATTTCATCTAATTGCAGCGTTTATCTTTGAACCGCTTGTTCCGTGACCCCTGGTTAGGGCCGTTTAATACTGATGGGTCTTCCTCTGTCGTGCAAACTTTGTTCCCCCAAACACCCATGCTGGTAAGATGCACGAAGCTGTATGAGAGAGCTTTCATTAAAGGATTCCTTAATAGAACTGACTGCCTTCCCTTGATTGCATAATCACCAGCTAATGAAATTGTCTTGGTAACAAGAGCTATAGTGTATCACATCCTCTCTTGAGACAAAGTGGAAAGACAATTGTATCATCCCAGGAAGAGGATTGATTGTTTGCAGTTTGAATTTGATTGTCCTTCAGGGGGACTAAACAAGAGATCATCTCCAGCTTCTCTAGTGCATTCTATTCTCTTGGAAAGTTATTGTTTGACGTTCCTTACAAGCGAAGCATATAAATACCGTGCTTTGTTGCAAGAGAATCAGAAGGAAGTGACTGTCATTTTTTTTTTCAGTTTTGTAAATGATACAATCAGCAGACCAGCTGGATGACCCCACACGGGCCTCTCAGTGGAGGCGTAGATCAAAGCTTTTCATTGCACATCTTCAAAAATGCTTTTTTCACTGTAGGAGGGAACCCCCGAGGAAGGTTTGCCCTGGGCCTGGTGCAGAGTGAATGGAAGGTCTATGTGAAGAGACCTTTAGACAGAGAAGAACAAGACATTTACTTCCTCAATATCACTGCCACCGACGGGCTTTTTGTCACCCAGGCCATGGTGGAAGTGACCGTCAGTGATGTGAATGACAACAGCCCAGTGTGTGATCAGGTGAGATATGCGCAAATGTCTTGTATATATTGCTGCTTTTTACTCTGTCCTTCTAAAATTAAATCAGAGCCCATTTCATTTTTCTCCTTAGGGTCAGGCTCCTTTCTGCGCTTCTCTCCTTAAATCAGTGAGCTCCACTTGGATGCCAGAGAGTAGGAAAAGGCATAGGTGGGAAGTTCAGATACCTAATTTTGCCCACCCTCCCCAAAAAAAAAAAAACCAAAAAACCATAAGCCTTAAAATTAAATAGTGTTTAAGGAATCATAAGCGACCTAATGACATAAGTAAGGACTTAGGTCTAAATCACTGATTCTATAAAAGAAAAATGGACCACTCAAAAGCAGAAATTTTTTTTCTAGTAAGTTTGCACAGCTGGTTAGTGGCAATATTGGTAATGAACCCAGGTCTTCAGGCAACTCACGAAATAGCTTGTCCATCACAATACAAAACATGACAGCCAGTGCAAGGTACCAGTAGCAAATTTTATTTTCTTCCTTACTGAAATTAAATCACTGTTAATTTACCTTTGCCTGACTATGTGGACCAAGAGACAATATTGGTAGTCTATAGCTTAGAAAACTGTTGCAAATAGATTGACTCTATCATACGAATGCCAGACGTGGCACTCTTTAAAGAGTGGAAGGGTCCCAAAGAGTCCCTGGTGCTTAACAGAAAAGGGGATCGTGATCAACACGTGGCGGGACCTTTGTCTGCTTTCTTCACCCTTGTAGTCCTAGCATCTAAATAGTACCTAGCACATGGAGGGACTCAATCAGTATTTGTCGAATGAATGAGATTGGCCGGGGCTTGGGGCAGGGCAAAAGACATAGCGCATTTCATCATATATTGTAAGATAGCTCTGTAGTGAAGGGAGAAATAGCCAGAGCTAAATTATATGAATGCATTTTTAAAGAAATCATTTATAATGTGAAAGATGGCTATCGCCTCACAAATACTAATGACTTCATTACCTTTCTTTACTTTGGCAGGTTGCATATACAGCATTATTTCCTGAAGACATTCCGTCAAATAAAATTATCCTGAAAGTCAGTGCCAAGGATGCCGACATTGGGTCCAATGGAGATATACAATACTCACTCTATGGATCTGGAAATGATGAATTTTTTCTAGATCCAGAAAGTGGTAAGGTGAAATGTATTCCTTGGGGAAATGCTATTGCTAATCCGTGAGAAAAGTTGAACTCTCATGTAGTCTCATCACTAGTGGGTAGTTAGCATACAAGAACTGATGCCTTTGCTCTCTAGGACCCTAAAAAATGCTAGTCACACTTGGTGTCTGAAGATGTATTTGGCCTATAAAATTTGTCCTGACTTTTCTTGCATTTATTAGCATCAAGTAATCAGATGTGTCTATTTGGTTCTCCTGTTTTTCATATCTGTGACTTAGGCATCTGCTCTGTGAAGAATATAGAGTTACATCACAATATAAGTTGCAAACCAGACAGCAGTGCATAGGAAGGAAGAGTTTTTCTCTCTTGAAATCCCTTTTGGGTCCGTTCCCAATGCTTATTAGTACACTTGTCTGGTTTTTGGTTAAATATTCCTGCCTAGTTTCTCCAAAGCTATGAGCCCTCAGATTAGCCTTGATATTCAGGCAAAATTTATAAGGTCAAAGGTTGGGTATGTTAACGGCAGATGCCCACATTGAGGGCCAGAGCTAATGGAAAAGACATTTCTTAATGGAGGTATGTAATTTCAGTGCTGTATACTGGATGGCTCATCCAATGGCAATTTTTAAATGAAGTGTAAAGACTGAATAATTTGCATATTTCCAATGTTGTGTTTGGCCCTGATGAATAATAACTAACTATTGAGTCTCCAAAGATGATGGCTTCTCCCTGTTCCTCTCCGTGTCAGCTGGGTCCTACTTGGAAGCACTTAGCTATACGGAAATATACTGCTTGGCTACATAGACCTAGCAATTATTTATTAAATAGCTAACATTCATTGAGTAACTAGTAGATATAAAAGCACTTGATGGGATATCTGTGGTAGGCTGCAAAACCAGCCATGTCCATGGGATATCGTAAGCCAGTGGGACAGACAGACCAGTAAGCCAGTAATAATAATAATAATGATAATAATAATAGGCAGAATGAAATGAGTATCCTAGAATGGTATCAGGGGAGTTATATCTGGGCACAGAGGAAAAAAGGGGCTGATATTCTCATAAGGGGGAAGAGGAAACTGTTTTAAAGAAGAGCTAGCATCTGAACCGAGGCAGGATTCTAGAAACAAAAGCAGGTTCCTGCAGGCCGTGGGGGCGGCAGGAACAGAGAGCACAGCACAGCCAGGGAGGGCTGCTTGTGACATTGTCCCTGGCAAGAAGAGTTGTGGAATGGCTGGTGATGGGCGGAAGAACTGCAGGCCAATCGTGGAGGGTCCCTAAGGCCCCACTGAAAAACCCCGGGAGGTTTCTGAGCAGGAGAAGGAAATAGTCCAAACTGTGTTTGAGAACAGGCTGCAGCAAGGAGGCCACAGAAGGAAATGTTTTATAAGCCTAGATGGCTTGGTTGGAAGAAGGTCTACTAATTGTATTTAACAATAATTATACTTCAGGAGTCATACTTTTCACCAGCTCGTGTTTATTCGGGTCTGTCTCTGCTCGTTGCCATTGTCCGTTGAAATTTAAACAACCACCTCGAGTCTCCACAGGGACTGACGCCCAGCATGAGCACAGATGATCCAGTGGATAAAGTACAGACATGACTTACCTACCCTTCCACACTCTGCAAATATTCCTCCAGCAAGAATCCTCCCCCAACAGCCACAGGCCCTTCTATATCCTGGCAAGTCAGGTTTACCCCGACACGACAGAATTCCTTCCAGACCTTTTTCTGCTAAAACCAGCTTCTTTCTGCTTTGATTGTTTTCCTCTAAAAGATGGAGTAAAAAGATATTGAGTCTCTGGAAGCAGAGACCCAGCCCCTTCTGGGTCTGTGGATTATTGACATGCCTGACCACGGAGAACTAAGGATGCTCGTCCATTCTCTATGCTTTTTCTGAAAATCGAGCAGAAATCTAGAGACATGCGTAGCTGGTTCCCAGAGCATGTCTTCAGAGGTTTCCAGGGGCATGGAGCCTTCCAAGGTAGCCAAAAGAAGGAAATCCTGATACCAGAGGTTTCACAATGGGATTAATTAATTTAAAGGCCACACAGTTGATTTGTTGTTGCCTCGAGAATCCCATAAATGTTTCCCTGGTGCTTAACATTGAATTTGCTCTGTCTTTCGAAGTATGAGACACTTGGGCCAAATGTCATTGCTCCTTCCTGTGTTGGGGATTCTTTATAAACTTGGTTCTCTGTTCTTCAAAGAAAGAGGGTTTTTTGAAAAGCCAGGCCATTTATTTTCACAGGTGAGTTAAAAACCTTGGCTCTCTTGGACCGGGAAAGGGTCCCCATGTACAGCCTGATTGCCAGGGCCACTGACGGAGGTGGTAGGTTCTGCCAGTCCGACATCCACCTGATCCTGGAGGACGTGAATGATAACCCACCTGTGTTTTCTTCCGACCACTACAATGCCTGTGTCTATGAGAACACAGCCACCAAGGCTCTGTTGACCAGAGTTCAAGCTATGGATCCTGACGTTGGTAAGTCAGTTGCATTGATGGAATGCCTCCATGTTTCATGCACTTGGCATATCTTCACCTTTCCTTTGGTATCACCAGCCCACCTGGGTTCCTTGGCATTAAACCAATGACCACGTGTCAGCTCTTCTGCTGATACACTTCACGTGTGTGCAAGAACTCTGCAAGGTGTCCTCCCCATTTTCCAGCATCAAAAGAAGTGATGCTTTGAATTTCCTTGCCTTTTAACAAAGAGTTTGGGATTTGTTTGCTTTTTTAACCTTTAGAATAAAAATAATAGCTTTCTTATTTGCCCATTCCTCCTGAACACAGTTAAAATGCTGTGTCGTGTGGCCAGGAGAATTCATTTCCATTTCTATAAAGAATTGCCTCACATGCTTCAGCTGACATATGACAATCTCGATTTATGGGAGAGCCCCATAGTGCAAAGAACAATTACTAAATGGGCTGCTGGTCCAATGTCAATTTTTTTTAACTGCCGCTTTCCAGTAGTCTTTTGGTCACATAGACCCTGACGTTACTAGGCAGAGCGAGGGTGGTGGAAGTAAGAAGGAATTTGAAGTGAAAGTTGCTAATAAAGTTTGTGTTTCAAATCCACTTTGCATAATGAGATGGTGAGTTAGAGAAGACTGGAGTTAATTGCTAGGTAGTCCTTTGGAGAATGCATAAGTTATCGAGGTGACTGCATGATGGAGTGTAAATACAAAAGGGCATATAGAGAGCCTCTTGCGTGTGCATTTTAAGAGCTGTAAATCAGAGGACAAGAGAATGATGGGGTGTGTCTGCTATGCTAAACAGACCTTTATAGAATTCAGTGTCTTATTACTTAATTCTGAATTGAATGAAAAATTATTGGACTAATGGAAAAGTAAATACATGATAATTAGTTGAAAACAAGCATAGAACCCGGGGTCTCTGCATATTTCCCCTTTAAGAAATTAGTGGCTACTTCAAATTATTGCTCTTATCTCATTAACATAATTTTCCAGGCTAAGAACCAACCCTTTAAAAGTCTGCATATTATGTTAAGCTTGGTAAAAAATGGTGAGCAGTAAAAGACTCGTTTGTGATTTATAATTATGGAGTACCTACAGATACTCTTTTTTTTCTCTTTGTAACTGTATTTCAAGTTCCTTCCAAAACAAGGCCCCAAGCACCCAGGTTCATGTATGTCCCTCACCTTGCTCCACCGCTGTCTTGTACAAATACTCTTTTTTAAAGTAACATTAGAAAACATTCTCTGGACTTGTAGGAGGAGACTTCTGGGGGGAAAACATAAGTGGAAATTATGCAAATAAATCTTTTAATAATTTAAATTTGAGAATGTGTAGTTGAGCCATAGATGAAATGTTAAGATTGATTTTTTCAATTAAGTTATATTAAAATCCTAATTTTTAAAAATTGACATTTTTCTACCCATTTCCTTCATGAAGGAGTTGGGTCAGCTCTGTCTCCCAGAGATTGAAGACAGAAGGAGACTGATTAGTGCAGAGGGTAGCATGATCAGTGGACAGTGGGGGATGTTACAGGCTCCCAGATGTGGCTTGTAGTGAAGAACATACAGTTAGCTCCATCCTCCTTTTTACTTCTTCTGAGTCAGCCATCCGGGTTGGGAGTTGGGGCAGAAGGGATGACTAGACTCTAGGCCTTTAGCTGGGAAGAGATGATAAAGCCTTGAAAGGACCAAAACCAGAATAATGATCTCATCAGCACCTGCCTTGTTCATTTGCACTCATTAGCCAAAGGCTCACGTTCAGCTCTTCAGGTAGACCCTGAGGTTGTAAGTGCTGCTCATATGATAAACTTTCCCCAGCCGTTGTGTCTGTCTCAGAAAAATTCTAGCATAGCAACCTGGTTTCTATTTCTCAGTTTTCGTACAACTCATTGAGCTATAAAAAAAATAAAAGAACTGAGACAGCTAAGATGAACAAATGAACACATGAAAATGCAGACTAGGCACCTTACCATGTCTCAGGCACCAGGCTGAGGAAGTGGGTGTGCCGGTCCTGGCCAGAGCCTGCAGGGGGATTCCAACAACGGAGGCATCAGTCTCAGCTCTCATCAAGCCAATCTCCTCTGAGTCCCTGGGTATCAGTGACTGGTGTGGCCTCGGCCATTTTCTTTAGCAACCCAATCAGAACACTTCCTTTCTCATCTGTCATGACGGACCACAGAGGAGCCTGAGCTGCGTACTGAGATCACCAGCTCATCCAGTGGACAGTTCATCTCGGGGCAAAGTTGAACCTCTGAGCCAAAGCTGAGTTTGCACATTCATCATGAGACTGAATCCAGCCCTCTCTTGTCTTTAGTTTGGCTTAATAGTGTTCTAAAAAGTTTGACTCCGTTGTCAATCAACGTCACGAGATTTTTATTCAAAATTCCAGTTTCTGGCATATTATCAAAATAGCAACAGCCCTCAGAAGACTTCAGGTACACAGCTCCACAGTGGCAGGAGCTATAGGAGAAGCAGGAGCCGTCACTCACCCACTCTATTTCCAGCCACTTCTATTAATGTTAATTATTACCATTAATTATAATTAATCATTTATAAATTAATTAATTAATTAAAAATTAATTTATGTTACTGCCTTACCGTCTGGGCCTCTTTGGGACAAGAAAATTGCTGATTTAAAAAAATAAAAACAACCTTTATTTTGAAATTGTAAGAAGTTCACAGGTCATTGCCAAAAAAAAAAAAAAATGTACAGAAAGTCACATGTTCCTTTCACCCAGCACTTTCCCCCAGTGAGGACATCTTGTGTAATGTAGTACACTATCTGATTTGGTGTGTGCGTGTGTGTGTGTGAGTGTGTAGTTCTATACAATTTTATCACTTGTGTGGCTTCATGTAACCACCATCACAGGGTTCCTCCCTGTCACCCCTTGATCACCACACCAACCTCCTCCTGGTGCTTCCTTCCCAATCTCTAACCCCCCAGCAACCACTAATCTCCATACATATAATTTTATTATTTCAAAAACATTATTTAAAAGGAATTACATAGTTTATCATTTTCTGAGATTGGCTTTTTTCATGAAACAAAACATCCCAGTTGCCCATTCCCTTGAGATTCGCCCCAATTGGTTTTTGGTCCGAGGAAAGAACATTGGCTCCATCTGTGTAGATGATGGGACTGTTTGGTTCATGAAACTTCTTTTGTTCATTCTTTTACCTGAAGTTGTAAATTACTTCATCACCATTTAGCTACAGCATATACTAAGTCACTGTAAATTACAGAGAAAAGACAAGGGTATATTCCTCTGAAATCTGATTCTATAACTTCATGAATTCAAAGCTCTTATATAGACTTGCTAAACTTTCATAGCCTGATTTTCTAATTTGAAAAAATATTACTACTTTTAGCCAAACACCTCTTTCCTATGCTGAATTCATTATTCATAATACAACCAGACTAATGTTAGAATAATTGCCTACGTTAGGAACAAAATCAAAACAGAGGAGAACAAGATAAATTCAACACCCATTTTATGAGCTCTAAGAAATAGTATGGCAACTGTCTAGATTTTAACATCAAAGCCTTAGTCTTCCTGTGAAACGGAAATATCCTCATCCCATAAACTAATGGCATGACTTTATGACCTAACATGCTTAAAAATGTGATCCTTTGAGTAAAGATTAGGGGACCTTTTGTTGTACTACCTCTTTGGGATTAATATCTCACTATTTAGTCTATCTCATATAGATAGGATTTGTGTCCAGCTTCCTAATTTTGAGGGTTTTCTAAGCTAGCAAAGGAAACATGCAGTGATGAATATCAGAGCTAAAGTCTATGACCATTTTAGGCAAAGTTACATGAAAATAAAATGTAAACATGCTCTACAAAATATGCTATAGCTCATGATTTATGGAGAGGACAATTTCCAACATATTTGAGATGCAAGAAGACATATTTTTCCTCTTATGGACCGGGGACATAAAACAAAGAAATGTTCTAATAAGCAACTCACTTACTTCTTTCTTACTATTTCCTGCAAGGTTTGGAACATCTTTCAGGGATTTCAGAGAAACTTGAGGACTCATAACACACATTACAATTATTTTCCATTTAATTTAACAGAAATTTAGTGAGTAGCTATGCAGAAGACACTACAGAAGGAAACGCAAGATTCTCCAAGATGAGGAATATGCAGTGCCAGGCCTCAGGTCATTTGCAGGAATGAAGAACATGAATCAGGAGCACACATACCTTTAACGAAAGGCAGAGCTCCCAGAGTGAATAAGATTTCAACAGGCAGGGGTAGGAAGGCATTAGGAAGACAGGAACCATGAGGATAAGCTTGTGAAGTTGGAACATGTGGACCCAACTCAATAATTGGGAGAGTATCATGTTAGCCGGGATGGAAAGAAGTAAATGAGATGAGAAAAGTCATCTGGGCCTAACTGTGGTGGTTCAAACAGGCCAGGAATATGTACTTAAACCAGTCAGTGGAAAAGAGCCACTGAGTACTTCTGAGGAAAGAACTCATCAATTCTAGGTTTGGGAAATGCTAATCTGACAGAAGCCTCTAAAATGAAGATGAGGAAAGCTCCCAGGAGGGTACCGAAAAAGACCACAAGGGCCAAAATTAGAGTAGTGGCTTTGGGATTTAAAAAGTAGGAGCATGGCCATCACCCAAAGTGACTCTCGTGGCATAGGAGAAAAGGGGGAGGGGTGGAAGGGGAGCAGCCCTGCCCACCAGCACACCAGCAGAAGCCATGGCTGGACCTCTCAGCTAGCCACACCAGTGTACCCACAGCTGTCACAGCCCAGCCACACAGTCCACACAGGTGACACCCCTGTAGTACCTGATTCTGGACACCAGCAGGGGCCCCCTACATAAGGCCACTCCTTCAAGACTGGGAGACACAGTGGATCCACCTAACACAAAAACAAACACAGAGAGGGGTGCTGGATGGCTCAGTTGGTTAATCATCTGCCTTCTGCTCGGGTCATGATCTTGGGGTCCTAGGATCAAGCCCCACATCAGGCTCCCTGCTTAGC